ATTTCAAACTGTTTGGTGTAAAGTATTCCCAAAGAAATTGAAAAAATAACATTCCCTGCCTTCATAATGTTCTTTCAGCTCCCACTGGTGACCTTGATACGGATGGTGAGCAACCTCATGGCAGACGTTCATGGTATTTATTACAGCACAGTGAGCACTGGAAAATAATTGTCCCCCAATATTTTTGGAATGCACCGGTGAATTTCAATTTGACAATATCCACGACCCGTATTGTATTTACTTTCAGTGAACATTTGAGTGGTTGTGTTTTACAAGTGCAAATACTTGTGAAAATCTAATTTTAAGCTTCAATGGTCACCGAGAGCCAGTTTCAAAGCCAGACAAGAACAGAATCCTGCGACTTATGTAACTAACCGACACATCACAAACTGGAGCTGTTCACAAACGCTTGTCAGACACAGAATTACTCACTGGAGAAATGAACAAATCATTTCAACACACAAACACTACACTAGGAAGAATTTTACAGCTTGGTCAAGAACAAGAAAAAGAGGAAAATTAAATCAGTGGTAAAATCGTTACTAATCAGTGGTCAGTCTGATTTCCTTGAGTCTCAATCTTCAGGCTTTGAGCTTGTGGAGACCTGTGCATGTGATTTTCTGCAGCCTGAGGAGTTCTTTAGAGTCTGAAGTTACTCAGAGAACAGAGTTAAGCAGGGACACAAATCATTGCAGAATCCTGGCCTTAGTCAATTCTCAGAGACTAATCCCTTCCAGTCTTTAAAGAGCTCTGCAAGTGCAAGACACCTGGGAAACCTCTTCCCCAGCCACGCATGGCCCAGGCAGGATGCCAATATCAATTCGCATTAACGACAGAGGTTAGGAGGAGACACCAACATGCTCTTTGCCAGAGCGATCAACGGAGCTGACAGCTCCTGGGGGCTGTGCCCTCCATGTCGCCGCACCGCTGGGCTACCAGCAGGAAGCGATGGGGGCCACAGATCTGCGTGCATCTGCCCCTCTCCTTGCCCTCTGTCTAGCCACTGGCTTTCAAAGTGCATTTGCTCTGCAAAGCGAATGCCTCATTGCACCTCCAGTCAACCAGCACTGCTCCTGGTGCTTCAAGGGATGGGGTCTTACGTTCTTACCCTGTCTCTCTGCTACCAAGGTGAGCTCAGACCATGCTTTCCAAGTCTTCTGTATAGCAGCTAATCCTGTAAGCATGCCTCCTGTGGCTGGATGGACTGAGATTTTTCTCCCTGCTCTCGATTCCTCACTGCACAGGCAGAATACTGGACGGATCTACACTGGTACCAGAGCAATGATGGAGGCCTCCAAATCACTTCATGTACTCAGCGAGGCTTGGGCTTCTCAAGGGTGTGTTGTTGGGTCAAAGGAATTTAGCGAATGCAACACTGACTTGGAAAGAGGCTTGCTTCCATCCTGCGTACAGATCCTGAGCTGAACGCAGCATGAACCAAAAATACAGTTCCTCTGTTCATACCAGGCCCTTCTGGCCCTTTGCCCTTTACTCTCAGCCCCCTATAACAATCCCCTTACTGTCAGAGTCTCAGCTCGGTGCAGTGCTCCTGACTTCCCTAACCAGTCACGTGCCGTTATGCAGCTACTGTGCTGCTGCTTCTGGATGGCGCACATTTCAGGGGAAGGTGAAGAAATGTCTTATTTATAAAAGGCAGGGATTTCCATGGGATCTGCCAATTCCAGTAGGACGGGCATAACTCCCTTAGGCTCTTTTGGGAAATTCCAGCCAAAGAATGTTACACATGAGGGGGCTGGAAGGTGCTATGAGGATGCTATTTTGCAATGGTAGAGGACATAAAGCTGGAGAATAGGCAGCTGTCGAGTCTGATTGCCAGGGAAACAGGGAGAGCACTAGGATTTTCCAGAGTATGGCTCTAACGGTCTGTGCCTTTTTTATGGTGCAGGGACTGATATTGGCTCTGGTCAGCAGAATGGCAAAAGCAGGGGAGGACAATGCCAGAGCTCTGCACCAAAGGGCATGTTATTCCAGTAGCTCTGTGCCACCTTATACTGACCTTATACTGACATTTTGCAGCTGCATGTGGAAGGGAATTTCTCCTAGGGGAAGAAACAAATGAGTTTTTTTATGATGGTTGAGAAAACAGAGCTGTGAGGAGCAGCATTCCCCCTCGACCATCACTGCAAAGAAGGCTTCCCACAGCTGCACAGACATGGAGGTTCCTGTCTGGCTTTTGGCAGCCTTTCCTGCATGCCTCCACACTGGAAATGGGAAGGAGCTACAAGCCAAAAAGGCTGCCTGCAATGAAATGCCCCAGATGAGCGGTCTGACTCATGGTCTAAGTGTTGTTCCTTGGAAACTTGAGTAACATCACAGGGATAGTTCAGGCATAGTTCTGATGGAGCTGTGGAAAGGGACCACTGCCTTGGGCTTACAGGATTATGAGTTGAGCCAGCAAAGTTTATTCTCTGTAGCCTCTGACTCAGCGTCAGCTTGAGCAGGTTGGCTTTACCTCCCCACATCTCAGTTTCTCCACTGTAAAATTCCCTGCCCTAACACCAATTATTAATGCAGTTTTGGGCAACTCGCTTTGATCTGCATCATGAAAGGCTCCCAAGTGTTTATCACTTTGAAATCAACAGCAACTGGACAGCTGGGTAGCTCTGGGTTAAGATTACTCTGTATAATGGGGAGAATAGCACTGTCCTGCCACTGTATGAGAAACAATTGCAATCCATTCTCAAACTAACAGCAGCAAAGCAGAGTGAGAAAGGTGAAGTTCTGGGAAGTTCTTTAATGTGGAGACGCAGTCTGCAAGGGGACCAGTGAGGCATTTTCTCTCCTTCAAGTTGACTCCGGGAAGGAGCAAAAGGAAATCAGCATTCAGCTGGTCCAGCCACCACCCCGGTGGCAGAACAGTGGCTGGTGTGCACATCACTGCAGATCTCTGAATGCCTGTGATGCAGCCACTAAGCAAGCACAATCCTGCTCTCTGACCTGCAACCTGTCTCCCACAACTCCAGCTCTTACACCCAGGGATCTGGCCTGACTGATGATTGCCACCAGTGGTACGACTACAGGCAGTGCTGATGGCTGGGAGTGAGGATGACAGCTCAGATCTTCAACAGTAAAGTGCTGGTCTCTGATCCTCGCACTGAGACAAGCAATGCTGCAGGGCAGTATCAGTAGTAGCTTCTCATCCTCTTCTGTCTACACAGCAGCTCAAGGACTGCAGCAGGAAAAGACACCAGCTAGCTTTAGACTAGCTCCCTCAGGTTCTGGTAACACCACTGCAGGTTAAGCACCCAAAGATTTACCTAATTACACAGTGGTTTTGGGAACGTCCTCAAAGTTCAGCATCACTGCTGAGAGCAGTCCGTGCTACATTTACCTTGAATTTTGGCTGTGCATGCGGCTGCACACAGAGCAAAGGACAAGGAGCACACGATGCCCTGCCCTCCTGTATGTACAGTTACAAAGAGCACCAGGCTAGGAAGCAGAGCAGTACTGACCATCTGAAGATGAAAAACTTCAGATAAAGTCAAGCTGGCCCATCCCTGGTTGTGCTCGATATTACATTTTCTAGAAGATTGTTCAGTCTAATTTAAATAACCTAAGTGAGGAGACTGTTGCCACTTACACAAGGGCCTCATTAGTGGCCAAACTCTACATATTTAGCTCATAACCTTTTCTTCAGGGGTCACACTTTCTGGTCTGAAGCAGGTAATGAGATGCACAGAATACAATGTTCCTGGCATGAAAAGCCCCAGGGACACTGCACCCCTTGCTGGGATGCCAGCTTCCTCCCTATCCCCCCACCCCCACCCCATTATCCTCCTTGCTTTCTGAGTTGTACTCAAGACTTGCACTGACCTTTTTGATTCTGGAAAGCAATGAAAATGTGTGCAGCTTTAAGTGATGTAGAATAAGAAACTAAAGAAGTTAGGCTGGCACTCTGAAATGCTCAGTCTTTAACTCAGCAGAGACTTCCTGCATGACCTTGTGTAAGCCACTTAATCTCTATGTTAAATGCCTCTGGTTGTGACCAAGGCCGGGTACCTGGTCTCCTCTAATCAGACAAGGCTGTTTGCAGCACAGGTGATGTCTCCCCCAGGACAGGACGGCATCATGGCATGGGTGACTGTGAGCTATTACACTTCAATGATGCTCTTTGGTTACCTGTGTTTACTCTGGGCTGTGGGAGGTTAAGTGTTCTATCAACTGTTCCATGTCTTTGTTCTGTCTGGTGCCCATTTCTACTGACAATATTGGACTCCTGTGGACAGCTGGGAAGTGCTTTGTGGCTGTGCTTTGCTGATGGTTTTGCACAAGACACCAGAAAGCACTCCAAGCTTTCCTGTCCCAATAGCACTTTCTGCTTTTCCAGCTGTTTGCCAGCTGTGACCAGAAAAACAACTGTCCCAAAAAGCTGCATTACGGTCTGCATTTCATAGAGGAGACTCTTCCTCATCAATGTGGCTCCAGTTTTTGTCTTTTAAAAAGTAATACCACAAACCCATTCAGCCATAGCCCAACCAGCATCCATGCAAAATAAAGGCTACCCTCCAACAAACACCCAAGACCTCATGCTGAGGGATGATTGCTGCTGCAGAACATTTCAATGAAATACTGAAGTTTGCTCACAGGACCTGGGGGAGGTCACAGTCTGGCCTATTTTCTGTTGAACCTGGGGGGCTCTGTGTACTTGCACATTCTGAGCTAAAATTCAAAATCTAGAGAATTCACCAGGATGGTTCTCATGGGGTCAGAATGATCTTGGTTCTTTAAAAGGAAATGGAAACAAATGAAGCAGGAGCAGGCAGAAATGTGTATGTGAGAGACAGAGAGAGAAGGATGAGGTTCTAACTGATCATAAATGGGCTTCTTGTTGGAGCTGAAGCCAAACAAGGAGAGACTGCGTAGGATCTCCTTCAGTTCACAAATGCAGCAAAGGAACAAGGGACCAAAAGGACCAAGTCTGGGCCCAGGATGCCAGAGCAGCATGTAGTTGAAAGGAAACCCTCACATCTTCTACTTACCAATTCTGTCCAGCCTGTCAAGAGCCACTGTTTCAAAAGCTCGCCGCATCATGGGATACTCTTCCAGAACCTCGTTGAAGTTGTCCACCGAGAGGGAGTAGAGCCGGCAGTAGGTATCGGCTCGCACACTGGCTGTGCGCCGGCCACGAGTCAGCAGGCAAATTTCTGGAATGAGAACCCCAGCCTGAGAACGTGGGGACAGACACCACCACCCCTGCCATACAAAACCTGGTGCTGCCACTCAATGGGTAGTCCTGCCTGCCACCCAGTCTCCCCTCCAGTAGACTCTACCTGCTCTCCCCCTGGAAGCATGAGCAGTGGTAATGTTCTCCATATGCAGTAACATTTAAACAAGAAAATACCAGGGGGCTCAGTTGTGGCAGCTGCTGCGTACAATTGCACCTCAGGGATTCTGCTGATCTAATTAGCCAGTCAAGTTTTGTTATGGTGGATTATCAAAGATGTTATTTGTGCATTCAGAGTGGAGAAGCTGTCTTTCTCCAACTCCTCATGGGCACTGGGAGCAGAAGGTCATGCCGTGCCCTCATTGAAGCTAATTCTCTCTTTAGATTTGCAATAAAGGCTCTGTGCTGACCTGTGGCCTTGGTGCCTGGTAGAAACAGCGATCCTCAAACCCAGAACATTTATCTGTTCAAAGATGCTTGGAAGTTACTTGCAGATGTGTCACAAGCTTACAGATAGGATAAGCCAAGTTAGTGGTACCCACTTACTAACTCTTGGTGTATTTACACTGCAGTCAGCTACTCTCAGAGGTTGCTCAGCTGGCTACAGAACAGAAAGTCCTTGATTCTAACATAAATGCCTCATTTGGGCACAGACGCTCCTTGAGCACTCAGCAGAGAGCTCCTGAGTCCTGCTTTTCCACTGATTACACACAGAGTCTGGGCACCTAAGACAGGCACTTAAAGACAGATGGTGTGACCTAAAGGCAAAAGGTCTGGTCACAGCATGCTTTTCTGTGCTGTTGGGTGTCAATCTACCAGCACCACTCTCAGGATTCATTCTGGGTGCACTCCAAAGCGCCAGTACAGCAGCACTACAAGGTTGTGAGTTTTAGGCTGCTTTCCTAAGGAAATAATGCCTCTGAAACTGTGCTGTCTTTGAATGTGTGAGAAGTTGTGCGTGTGGTATTTGAAGTGCATTGAATCTCACGGGCAATTTTAATAAAATCTGTCAGAGTAAGGGTATCCTGACTCAAGCCCTCCAACTCCAAATCCCAGGAAGCTGACCCAACTTGCTAGTGATGTACAAAATTCCTGTACCCCAAGGATCGGGGTACAGCTCTCCAAGGAGCTACTTGTGCAGGTAGCTGCAAACATGATGTTTTGCAGGAAATAACAGAAGTGTGTAGGAAATGCAAGATTGGGATTTCTTAATAGAGAACGGTTCTTACAGAGAGGAAGGAAAGTCAGGTTTCATTCTACCCCTCCTGGTAGGTGATTAATTATGATGCATTCAGTGCTTGTACTGAAATGTGCATCTGCCAGAGAACTGTCTGTCTTGGGGTGTCAGTGAGGTCTCTGTGGGGCTGTGATAGCAGGAGTTTCTGTGCTACTCATAAAAGCAATATCCTAAATCTTCTCTTATGGTGTTTTCTGACCTTGTATTACTTTCACTGTTCCAGGCCTCTGCTGCTGATACATTATGCCTGCCTGCCGACCTTCACGACATTTTGCTGAGCCACAGACTGGGGAGATGATGGACTATGTTTTTTCCTCCATGTTTATACAGTACCTCATATGATGGATGCCAGGCAGTAGGAGTAGGCAACACTATAAATGTGCTTGGAGAATTGAGAATGCTCCATTTTTTTTCCTTTAGATTCTCAGCTTCACAGATCTGTCAGTTTGCTTGGGGCAAAAGGAAATGAAACTACAAGAACTAAGTTTTCCTTCTCCACTTTGTTATTATTTATTGCCTCGACTCCCACACTGCCCACGACTCCCAGCCACCACTCATTGCACAATTTACTTATGGGAAGCTGCAGGACAGGTGAGATAAACAGAGACAGGGGGTGGAGGAGGTGACCAGGTATCAATACCACATTCTGCCCTGCCTGTGTATGACAAGCGAAGGAAAATGTGAACACCACCAGTGGGTCTCACTACACAAGGGTGACTTGTTAACACGCACCTCCAAAGTAGGAGCCATCTGCCAGCTTGGTCTCCTTGTTGCCTTTGGTGAGGACGCTCACCACGCCGTGCTGGATGAAGTACATCTTCTTGCCAATGGTGCCCTCCCGGATGATGTAATCCCCAGGCTGGAACACCTCGAACCGCAGCTTGGTCAACATGGATGTCACAAAGTTGGGATCTGCGTTGGCGAAGAGGGGCATCGACGCAACCAGCTTCCGGCAGTTGAAATTGATGATTTCCTGATGACAATGTGAGTACAAACAAGAGAGAGGTGGGGGGGAGGGAGGCAGGGAGAACACATGGGACAGGGAGCAGAAAAGACACACACATATGTTTAGTCAGCATCTAATAACCCATGAAGTTTACCCACTTTGTGTGTACGTTAAAAAGTCAAAAATAAAACAATGCTGTCCTCTTTGTCTGGCGCCCCCAGTGCAGGCTGGAATGGGCCTCGGGACACAGCACATAGCAGTGCTAGCTGAAGCTGATAGCTTGACACCATGCTTCATTGCCTTCATTCATATGCTTTCTCTCTGAGCAGGGACAAAACAGGAACACCCCACCGTGCTGACAAATACATAAAATATACCTCTTACTTCAGAAAGCCTTGGATTTTGTGAGAGGTGCATAGTGCTGGTGAAAAGCTGTATGAAAATGCCCAGGGCTCCTCTCTGGGAAAACGTTATAACTCACCTTGGCAGCCCTACGTTCTCTGTTGCCCTTGCTTGACAATGAGATATTAAACAGCACAAAAGTGCCAAGGCGCTCAGAGAAATAATTATCCTGGGCAGCTGGGGACAGTGTCAAGAGGAGGAAGGGAAAGGTGCCCACCAGTCACCGGGGCATGGGCTGCCTCATCAACCTCAGATGAAGAAAGCCCAATTCAGCTGTTCAGCTGTCAAACAGCAGACAGGGACCGTGCCTCTTCCTGTGGCTTGGTGTCACTCGGAGGGTGTGACAGCACCTTCCGTCGCACAGGAGCTGCTGTGCCATGGCAGCTCAGACTCAGGGAGCAGCAGAAAGTGATACTGAGTACATCTCCCCAGCACAACGCTCCCCAGCCAAGTGGTGAAGGAAGATCTGGATGACTGGAGCAGGAAGAAAGAGGGCAGGGGAAGCATCTGTCTCCTCCTCACTGGAACACACACTGCCCATTTGCAGCCCCTCCTCACCTCTCGGAGGGGCTCGCTCAGCTCTCCCAGGATGCTCTCCTCATCGAACATCTTCCCCTGGTAGCGGTGCTCGTAGTAGTCATGGATGCGCTGCCGCATGTCCGCAGGGAGCTTGTGGAAGGACATATACTGCTCCACTTGTTTGTACTGCACGGGGGAGAGAGAAAGAGAAGGAGTTAGCAGGACACGCAGTAAATGGCACCGCACCCACTCATGGACAACTACATGCCAGGCTGATCCCCATACCTGCTTCCTTCACGCCACGCTGTGTTGGCCGAGGCAGGTAAACCTGGTGCAGGATAGAGCGATTACCTAAACACAGGGGAAGCTTGCAGATACCTTTATTATATTCCCCAAATAGCTGCCCAAAGTTTTAACCCTTAAACTTACCCTCAACCAGTTACACCATGAACATAACTCCTGGGTACTAACACGCAGAGATAAAACTGATGGGGGTAAAGAGCAACCAGCTAGGGTGCCCTGCTCAGCCAATAATGGTGTGAGAAGTCTGTGCAGAATGGAGGCTGGGGCACACGTCCTGGCAGCTTGGCTCCAGACCAGTAAGTGATGGGTAGCACCTTGGTGTCTCAGCCCAGCAGAGGATCCTACTGTCCCAGGTGCTGCACCAAGCAGCAGAATGCAGTCCTGCTGTGGATGTGCAGTCACAGGCAAACTGAAGGAGGTGCAGAAACCTGACAGTTACTCGCATGAAGCTGCAGCACCCATGGGCTGCTTCTCCTGTCCTCTGTGTTCTCATCCACCCAGCTATGAGGCCGAGCACCTTTGTTTCCCACTCACAGCTGCACAGGTCTAGGTTTTTTCACCTTTTCTGGGTCCCTGCTGGCCCATGCACTTTTGCTGTCAAACCTGCCTGTATCGTTGCCTAACAATTTGCATTTCCATCACATCACTTAGAGGGGAATACAAGGGCATGCTGCCTGATGCCAGAGCAGTATCTGAGGATGAATGGTGCTTTCTATCAGTACCTGACACTTCTTCAAGGGCACGGGGCTGTAAATGTGCCCACTTGCCCTGCAGGTGCTGCAGGGACAAGGTGTGTGTGCTGGTCATGCCCCCTCCCCCAGTGTGCAACACGGAGCACGATCCTAAGCATGTACTGCACTAAACAATGCTGATAAGAGGATCACACACCCCCTCTCCTTCTCCCCTTCCCCTCTTTCCCCCAATAAATCTGTCCCTGAATGTCCCTTTACTGCAGCTTGTGCTGAAGTGCCTAATTACCAAACTCCTGCTCATTACAGACCTCCCCGGCACACACCAGTGTCACTCAGCTCTCAGTACAGTCTGTGCTGGCACTGCCTTGCATGCTAACAACTTGATCTGCACCAGAGAGGAGAAGGAATTACTCGGAGAAGCCAAGGTGGCAGAGGGGACACTCGGGGTTTCCTGGCATTTCCAGAGCTTTTTGTCTGTCGCTTGCAGCAGAGGAGCTGGCTGTAAATATTCATGATCACTACAGCATGATCAAAGTCAAGCGAGTCACCACCTCCCCACCGGGAGCCAGGCGGTGAATTGGCAATGAACGGTGCACTTTTTTATTTGGATTGCTGAAGTTCTGTAGAGACTGGCAGGAAGCTGCAGTGGGCTGTGCTGGGCGCTGCACAGTCCGCAGCTCCTCAACGGGGGTGGCAAAGGCAGCAGAAACCATCAGCTCCTGTGGGGAGAACTCACCTGGTCTGAGCCAGTCGTGGATGTTGCAGGCTGTGCTCTTAAATGCACCAAGTGTAAGGGCTTGGCTCAGACGGCGAAGCAGAGATGTGTGCTGCCTCTGGAGATGCACCACGGCACCTGGGGCATCCATGGGACTGGCAAATCAGATGCAGGACATGCAGGACACGCACTATGGAAAGGGCCCAACTTTTGCTGACTCAGGTTTATGAAATTTATCTCGAATCCACAAACAGCTCTGTTTTAATGCTGTGCTTTTGTTCAATAAACTACTTGCCAAAAAATTCACTTCAGACTCTCAGTTTTAGCCCCGTGTCCTGTATTGGACTGTGTCTACCACACAGCAAACGCACCACAACACATGTTCCATCACAGAGACTCGCTGGTCAGAGCTCCAGGTGACCCCTTTGAGTGTGCCCCATGTCACAAGATGCCAGTCATCACCTGCTCCCAGCCACCAGCCCACTGTCCCTCTTCTCCCCACCATAAGCACTTGCTGTCAATCTCCAGCTGACCTCTGCTTCTCAGGAAAAATATCCCTAACTTCTCAAATTCACAAGCACAGTTTGGATGGGGAGACTCGGACTCTGCTTACTCACTACTGTATACAGATTTATTGCTCTGTAACAAAGAGCAATAAATTACGGCTCTGCAAAATCCCTGGGACTTGTCAGATTCTCCTACAGTCACTGTCCGCAGATAAGGCTCAGAGTAAAAGAAGGACAAATTTACTTCACCGGAATGAAAGGTTCTGCTTCAGATCACAAATTAAAAACACGGTTACAAAAGAAAATTGTAGAATAAGAAATCACCGTTGACGAGAAGGAGGTATTTTGGCTCTCCTGCCTTTGGCAGTGCCACCTCCCCTCACCCATGCCAGGTAGAGAGTTTTTGAGCTCTCCTGCGTGTAGAGACGGAGTCCTGCAGAGCTGCTCGCAGATGAGAGCATCAGCCCCTTCTCTCTGTGTGTGATGGAAGAAAAACCTGCATGAGGGAGGACCTTTCAGTCCATGGTGGGCAGTACGTATCACTCCTCAGCTCCAGACAAGATCGCTCCTGAGGCCACCAGCAACACGCGGGGACAGAACTAAGTCAGGGTCAGGCAAGCATAACCACCAGAGTGCATGGATATTAATTGAGGCCTTCGGATGGTGCAGACCCCATCCCTAAAGCCACTTGATGCCCACGGAGTTGGCTCCCTGTCAGGTGCCTTTCAGACGTGGCCAGCCATAGCCTGACAGCCTCCTTTTGCCTCCCTTCTCCCTTGCATTCCAGCCCTCCTGTCTCCACATGCTCAGTCTGACCTGTGCTTGGAGGACCTGTGCAGAGATTCGTGGCCTCTCTGAGTTCAAATGGAAAGACTCATTTAGGAATTATTTAAATCTCTATGAAGACAATTGAGTCAATTTAAATCCTAACTCATTTTCTTTAAGTCTGTTTTTCCTCGAATAAGCCCTTGAAGAAGGCATTAATATATCAAAAGGGAACCATTTAGATGAGTATTTTTCCTTCTAGAACCTGCTGCTTTCCCTAGTCGTCTCCCCATTCCCCTCCCTTCCAGCAAAGCTCACATCACTCACATTCCAAAGAGAACAAAATATTTTTAACTCCTTTCATACCCTTGATCTCTGTCATGAGTCCTCCTTTGGCAGTAATAAATCACTGTCTGGAAAAGCTGGGCTACTTCCTTGCCCTACTTCTGAACGTAAAAAAGATCCTGCATTTGAGAAGAGCTGCTTGCACCCCAGCCCTGGCACAGACACCTCTCCGAGTCCTCTTTGGTCCACAGACATCACTCTGCAGAGCTGCAGAGAAATGCTGATTTCCAGTTTTGCAACTCAGTTAATTCAAACACGCTTACACGCTTTCACAGTATGCTCACCGACACGGGCACACACACATAACCTACTGCAATGAAAGGACCTGGGATGCCAGTTGCCTTTTGCCTGAACATCAATATACATTTCCTATACAGAGCTGTGTTGCTTGCATCCTTCCAGAAATAGGCTGAGGCAGCTGTAGGGAAGACTTTAATCTCACACACAGTCTCCACATCCAAACTCCTGCAGATCAACAGAGATGCACTCGTGTAAGAAAAGGAGAATCGAGCAGAGTAATGCATCTTCAATTAACTGAAATGTTCTGATGCTCTGACAGCATTTCGAATGCTGTACGGGAATGGCAGTGCACATCCTGTGAGACTGCATTAAGATACATGGAAGCAGCTATGATGGACAATGCTGTGGATCTCTTAAGTGGATTTGTGCTTCATAAGGGCAAAGATCAAATGACAAGATTGACCGGATGGAGTGTCTTGATGGGACACAGTTGCATCTTTGTTTATTTTATCTGACATATGGTTAGGAATAAAACAGTGCTGCAATGTCAGCTCCCCAGCATTTAGTAATCATCAAAAACTAATAAATGCTGAGTTCTGTTTTTTGTCTTCTACGTCATTTATATTCCCTCCCTCCAGATTTGTTCTGTGACCAGGAGATCTACTCAGTGTAGCTGAGGTACATTCTCCTGGAGTGCAATGAGGAGAAAGAGAGGAAGAAAACAGAACTTCTGTAACACAATAACACCACTCCAACACTGCTGGCGCAATCTTTCCTGGTTTCAAAGGGAACTTGCAGAACTTGGAGCATATTTAGTATCAGTCCTAGCCTATAGAAGTTTGCTCTCTGCCTGATAGTTTGTCTGTACCTGGTGCAGGCTGTCACATTTTGACCTACCAACACTTAGGAATGTAGTTGGCTTGACATACACACTCGTGCTCCTGAGCACAGCCCTGCAGTTTTCCAACAAGAACAAGGGAAGTCATAAAACGCCATCTGAACATGTCCATGCTGTCCATAGTGATGGGAAAGTGCCTGAGGGGTGCTGTATGCAGGCATATGCTGCCCTTTCCATCTTCTTTGGCCTGCAGGCAGCAGGAGGATGGTGCTAGGGATGAGGCTGCAGGATTCTGCAGGATTCTGCATAAACCCATGTCTGTCTACTCTTCAGCTTTGGACTCTGTTCGGTCACTTCCTCTAGATCCAGTCTTCATTCTGCAAGAAGCCTTCTGTGCTGTCCTGGGTCTGAGCCCTTCCAAACACTGGGTTATTTTTGGCACCGCAGCACCAGCTCAATTTGCTACAGGAGGATGATTTTCAGGTGTTGCATGTTACATGCTGAAATACATGGAAAGCTTTTAGCTTCACTGCAGTGATACCTTCAGGTATTATTTTATGTAGAATCAGGCTCTCTATCTCTTGCTCTGTTACGAATACCACAGACTCCAGCAGAAAATTCTTGGAGCTTTTTTTCCAGTTTCTATACAACATTGATTATACTGAGGATGGCTGCAATGATGAGCCGCTGTCGCTGCCTCCCCTTGCTGGTAATCAGTACCTATTCAGGCACGGATTATGCTTCAGACAATCCCATTTCTGGGCTGTGACATGTCAACAGAC